AGGAAGAGCTGGACAAGTTCTTGGACGAGAACTTGGCCACTGGACGTATTCAGGCCTCCAAGTCCCCCATGGCCTCTCCCTTTTTCTTCGTCAAAAAGAAGGACGGAAAATTACGACCCGTCCAAGACTACCGAAAGCTCAACGAGATGACTATCAAAAATCGTTATCCGTTGCCGCTTATCGGGGAGCTCATGGACCGACTGAAGAAAGCCAAATATTTCACCAAACTAGACGTGCGGTGGGGTTATAACAACGTGCGGATTAAAAAGGGGGACGAGTGGAAGGCTGCCTTTCGAACCAATCGCAGCCTCTATGAACCCCTTGTCATGTTCTTCGGGCTTACCAACTCTCCCGCCACCTTCCAGTGGATGATGAACGACATTTTCAAGGATCTCATCACTGCTGGCGAGGTGTCCGTATATCTGGACGACATCCTTATTGCCTCTAGGACCAAAGCAGAGCATAAAAGGATTGTACGAAAGGTTCTCCAGATATTACGAGAGAACCACCTGTTCCTAAAAGCCGAAAAGTGTGAATTTGAGGTAGAGGAGACCGAGTACCTCGGGGTTGTTATTAGCGAAGGAAGGATCCGAATGGACCCCGTCAAGATCGCGGGGCTGCTCGATTGGCCGACCCCTCGTCGCAAACAGGAGTTACAGTCTTTCCTGGGCTTTTGTAACTTTTACCGACGGTTCATCCAAGATTACAGCCGTCACGTCCGACCACTTACGTCTCTTACCGGCAAACAAGAGTGGAAGTGGGGAGAAGCGCAGGAAGGGGCATTCCGAAAACTCAAGGAGTTATTCCAGGAGGATGTGGTACTCGCTATCCCACTCGATCAAGGACGGTTCAGAGTAGAGGCAGATTCCAGTGAAGGAGCGATGGGAGCGGTACTTTCCCAGTGGCAAGACGAGAAGTGGAGACCAGTGGCCTTCCTCTCCAAAGCCTTATCGGTGACGGAACGAAACTATGAAATCTACGATAAAGAGCTCTTGGCCATTATGATCGCCCTCGACGAGTGGCGTCAATACCTAATGGGAGCAAGGGAAGACTTCGAGATTTGGACGGATCACTCCAATCTCCAGTACTTCCGAAAGCCTCAGAAACTCAACCGACGACAAGCGCGGTGGGTAACTGAGCTAGCGGAGTACCAATTCACCTTACACCACAAACCTGGGGCGCAGAATCGCAAAGCGGACCTCCTGTCCAGAAGAGCGGATCACGAACAAGGGAAGGAGGACAACAAGGACATTACCGTTCTTAAAGCCGAACATTTCAGGGCTTTGATTATGCCAACCGCGGAGGAGCTACACGAAAGAATCAAGATTGCTACTCACGACCCCCGCCGTTGGGATAAGGGTATTTCGGACTCCCTCAATCATGAGAAGGGGGTGTCCCGTGACCAAGACCTCTTATGGTATGATGGGCGTATCTACGTACCGGTCGACCGAGACCTACGTGGACAGATCATAGCCCTCAAGCACGACCATGCCACGGCAGGACACCCAGGGATCGAAAAGACCAGGGAACTGGTTCTTCGCGATTACTGGTGGCCGAGGATGCGCCGGGATATAGAAGCATATGTAAAAGGGTGCGACGTCTGCCAACGAACTAAGGCGGATCGACGTCCAAAAAAGGCTCCCCTACATCCTAACGAAGTCCCAGTCCGTCCGTGGACACACATTTCCGTGGACATGATCACCAAGCTGCCAGACTCAAAAGGCTTTGACTCGATCCTAGTAATAGTCGATCGATTTTCAAAAACCATCATCCCTATTGCGTGCACCGAGGAGCTCACTTCCCTCGGCTTCGCCAAGATTCTGAGGGACTACGTTTATGTACCCTACGGAGTAATGCCAGAGAAAATCATCTCGGACCGAGGCTCGGTCTTCGTTTCCAAATTTATGAAAGAATTCTACACTCTCCTTCATGTTGAAGGGAATCCTTCTACCGCATATCATCCCCAGACAGACGGACAGACGGAAAGGGTCAATCAAGAGATTGAAAAGTACTTGAAGATGTTCGTCAACGACCGACAAAATGACTGGAGCGAATGGCTGCCCTTGGCGGCCTTCACCCACAATAACCGCCAGCATTCCGCGACCGGGTACTCCCCGTACAAAATAGTCTTTGGGCGAGACGGACAGGTTATTACCGCAGCCCGAAAAACGACGGTAGTCCCCGCAGCGGCAAAGTTAGTGGCGGAAATCAAAAAGGCACAGAAGGAGACCAGGACATCCCTGGAAAAGGCAGCCGAATCAATGAAAAGGGCTTATGATAAGCACAAAGGACAGGCAACGGAATATCAACCGGGGGACGAGGTATGGCTAGACACTACCAACCTGAACCTTCCTCGACCGACCAAGAAACTCGGGGATCGCCGTGTCGGCCCCTTCATTATCATCGCCAAGAAAGGAGCCTCAGCGTACGAGCTCAAACTACCCGTTCGATGGAGAATTCATAACCGATTCAATGAGTCTCTATTAACACCCTATATCGCGCCGACCTTTCCAAATCAGCCACGTCCCGAGAGGCCGCCTCCAGAATTAATTGACGACGAAGAAGAGTACGAAATCGAGGAGATCGTGGAACAACGAGACAAGGTTGTTGGCCGCGGACGAACCCGTCGCACCATAACAGAATACCTGGTCAAATGGAGGGGTTACCCAAGGGAGGAAAACTCCTGGGTCAAGCGTTCGAACATGGCAAACGCGGAAGAGCTCGTAAATGAGTACGAGGCACGGCTCCAGAGAATTCATTGGGAGGTTAATAAGTACGGGCGAACGGTGGGAAAAGACGACAAAATCCCACCAGGCGCCGAAACGGCTTACCATGACCCAGACACTCCATGCGTCACGGACATTGAGACCGTTCACTCCTCCGAGTGTACTAACCCAAGGCACTCCGATTCCCAATCGTCAATCGCAGTAAGAGAGGTCACCACCGAGGAAGCGGAAGGGATACCTATTTTACAGGACACAACGGACGACGAAGATTCCAAGTTGGACCTCGAACACTTGCAAAAAGTTTACGAAAACTGGGACTTCGACTCGGAAGACGATGACAACGATGATGATGACGCTTCATCCTTTTACAGTCAAACTGCACAGAGCGGGGAGGAAAGCCAGGACTCATTCGGGACGAACGAGTCTTGAGAAGGGGGTAATGTTACGGATATTCTTTTCCTTTTTTCTTTTCTTTTCTTTTCTTACGTATTCACGCTTACTCTATGCTGCGCTTTCGATCGGACGCTGCTGCGGCACTATTTTTAGCCTACGCAACGTGTATTTAAGTAGAGCCTCAGCTGGCCTAAACCCCAGCTTCGGCTAAGGTTTATTCTACCTAATATCGAACTCCGTTCTTCGTGACTACTTGTCCCATCGACTTACGTCGCCTTTGACTTGCTGAGCGTCGTCTACCGAAGTGCGAGTAGCGACCTTAGTACGATCTAAGTCGATTTGAGTTAGTGGCTAACAATGGTTGCGCTCGCTGTCGCTAATTGTCGTATGGGCATAATAGCATGCAAAAATTCACGTTGGCGCAAGTCGCGTTTTTCCGCTGGCAAGTTGGTTATAAACCCCCAGGTTCGCTTATATCCTTCCACAAGTTAGTAGTTTTTTTTGCAAGTTTGCTATTGGATATAGCTTCAGAATAAGCAAGGCCTAGGCTGTAATATATAAATCTCCGTCCAGCCGTCCGGATACCCGACAATTGGTCACGAAAGATATGAACACTAACATTCTGGGAAGGAATACGGTACCTATGCTGTTCAGCAGGCCATGTCGTGAACCCTTGAACCCTCTGAAATGATGTTCTCAGTGCGCCCCACTGAGTTCGATCTACCACTGTCTTGCCTAATTCCGAGCATTCAAATCTATAAGGGAGTACTGTCTAGACTGAGTCTGAGCGGCTTTGAATCCAGAGATCAAACACTGAAGGGACATGTAATCTGAATTCATCATTGAATAAGCGATGGGGAAGTAGGTAAAGATGAATATGCTAGAGGAACTTGGGCCATTAGTATGGCAATGGCTGAATGACTGGTGTCAAGCACCGAAATAATGTCGGCCGGTTCAGGGGCCACCTCGTCCCACTCCGAACCCACTCCCCAGATCTTATTCAGAGATCTATGGTAACAACTGATGCTGATGAGTATATCACTATAAGAAAACACTTAACTTGCGGTGCGGGCACGAACTTGCGCACTTAAAAGTAACTTGTGACTGGGAAAAACCTAACTTGCGTTCATCGGATTTTTTGCACGCTATTATGCCCATACTATTACGCCCATATTGTCGCATATCCAGGGTCTACTCCCTTTGCACCGACATTACTCGCGTGCGTAGCTCGCAAGAGAAGTACAAACTGCGCTGAAGAAACTTATTTTGCATATCAATTCGACAGGAAGTGAGGAAAACATGATATGCTCGTGGTCAAGCACGTTACACAACAGTAGAGAGATGGTATGATGATGTCGGAGACTCAAGATTGCAACGGATATGGCTGCCTTATAAACAAGAACAGGATTGAGGCTATGTTGTCTTGATGCTACGCTCGGTGATGATTATGCTGTTGAAGCAATGCCTCAATGCCGCGACATTGATGGACCAAATTGATTTCGGGCCGGCCACAACAAGTTGACAAAGTACAACCAACAAACTGCTCCATCACAGAGATCGCGGCTACCACTGTCAGATATTTTACTTTTTCAATGCTGAAAGAAAGGGTAGGAAACAAGTAGGAAAACTTTACATCCTTCAACTACTCCAGCGGAAAGCTCATCACAACTGTAGAATACAGCGGCGCAAGGGTCGTTGGACAGCCTTGCCACACTGTCAACCCAATATCAGACTGAACCGGTCTTCACAGATATCAACAATGGAGTTCGTTGTAATCTTCATTCAGCTCCCTTGCCTACAACATACTTGGACCCCCATGTATCTCCACACAAAGACGAGATCAAAACAATTCAACACAGTCTGACAACCTTGAATACCGCGATGGAACACGATGCACTGTGCTATCACAGAAAATCTGTTACCCTCACACCTATGTGGCTGGATCTTTGGAATTGGGCAGAACAATTTTTCCAAACTTATTTTGTAACTGTTGCGGAGGACGACGGCGCATTGTACGCTGAACTCCTTGACCTCCTAGCTCCCACTGCAATGGCAGTAATGGACCTCATCGAGACTCTCTTATACGCTCCTCATATGCGCTCCGAAGTTTATTTGACATCATTTTGCTCTTTCATGATGCGAATTTGGGTTCGCATATTTTCCAATAATGTCCAGAATTTTCATTTCGAGCTCCAGGTTTCCAAGATGATGAGCGGGGTGCTAGAATCTGTGGAGCAGCAGACCAAAATGTCGTCGACGCTCCACTTGGTTCCTCCTGATCATGTCAAAGTGTCATTGTTCACAGCTGTCAGCCGTGTGCAGGACATCTCCCACTTTATATTATTTATGCACGTTACCACTTTCATCCACTTTGTTGTATGGACGTCCCATCATTTTCGGCGTATCTTTCTTAAGCATAGAAGCACGCATTGGGCGTGCCATGCTCTAGGTTGTATCGCCTCCCGGTTTCCAAAATACTACCCCACCCTTATGATGTTTTGCTTGACACGCTATGCTTTCGCTCTCCAGGAAACCTTTTGGAATGAAGGATCTCACGAACATGTCTCTGAGGCCATGCACTACAAGGCACTAGATTATTTACTTATAGCGACGTCATATCTCCCTTTACCAACTTCCGTGCGATCCTTTCCCTGGACCTCCTTCGAGAAACGTCTCGTGGACCTTTACAACACCATTAACTGCTACCTTGTATATCGATCGGTCCTGCATGAGGCCATGCATTCCATAGTACACATCCAAAACGCGAAATGGTTCGTACAATATGACGATGGTAAAGAAGATCGAAAGGCATGGATCGCTTTCTTGACTCTGGAGTGAAGGGTACAGGTTTTATGGGGTATGCGAATGTCTTATGTCGACTCTCCGATTACATACAAGCACTATTTGAACGTCGAGGCATATTAAAATAGCACTTACACAGTCTAAGTCCATCCCGATTGATCTTCGGCACTAGTGCTCTACCACACAGGATAGCGATTCAGTTACACTCAAGATATGCCTCGGATGCAATAATCAATATTACTGCTCGCGTGAATGCCAGAAATTTCATTGGAGAGCTGGGCATCGAGCTCAATGCCTAGACGTTCAACGATCACGAGAAGGTAAAGTATTCGTGGTACGAAGGAGCTTTAACACTAATGAATAATCGACGGAAGGCGGATCTCCAGCTCTTACGCCTCATGATCGTCACTTTATCATGGCCCTGGCGAGCATGGAAATAAAAGCCAACCTTGATAGCGTCAAACGCATGAAAGCGGTCTATATCGAACAGCAACCCGAAAGCACAGAAGCCCCACTCGTTATCACTTTCGACTACATAGCAGTGCCTCGACTAATATTGGTGATCTCCGCCTTTAAAAATCGAAACCAGAAAGCAGAGAATAGTTACTCGGTCGCAAACTCTGAAGCGAACACATGGAACGATGAAATTGACAAAGCGAAGACGACGAACTAATATCTCATACGCATAAAGATTCCCCATGTCTTAAAACCCTTTACCTTCATGCACTGCGCCGAGGGAAAATTAAAGTGAGTCTCTTCGTACCCTGAGAAAGACTAGTATCTTATCACTCCTGTGAATAGTATATAACATCCGGAAGTTTCGAAACCGGCCCGAAATTCCTGAAGGTATCGGAAGTCAGTGCTGACATCACCCAGTCCACAACATCGCAAATTTCTCGCAGGTACTTAGAGCCATCCTGGTCTTGTTTTCATCTTCTACATCATTACGAGTACCGGCCACTGGCGTCCTCTTCATCCAAAATGCTACAGCTTCGTGCCCCCTTACAACTTATGGCAGTGGGAAATCGGATACAGCGTATCTCTATTGAGTATGCTTCTAGTCACACGCACATTCCATTGCGCTCCCACCATGGGAATTTCAACATCACAAAGCGACGAACCTTATCCACATTGAATTTGAGGTCACAGGCAAGTTGCCGCGTGAATGTTGGTAACAGCTTCGCATAATATAAACCTGTGACAATTTGACGGACCTTCCGAACACCTATCGCCTATGCATTCTCAGTTATCTAAGCTTGTTTCCCTTATCTCAAGCGCCGTCGATGTTGTGCAGGAAACCTTTGCCAAAACCTCTCGTCCTGAGGTTCCTTCGTTGGATGACACTACTCGTCATCCTCTAGATAGTCCTGAGTCATCTTTGTTGGAAGTACAGAGGAGAGTATGTGAGAGAGAGAATTAAATTAGCCTCTCGAGGGAGAGGCATCGTACTTAAATACAAGTTGTACTACTTCTAGAATTTACTACGGATTACTATATGTGCCTACTATTGCGGTTAAATGTTCATGCCGCTTAGTCATGCCGAAGCTTCGAGTGCATTCTAGCACTAACTCGGGATTGCTATCCCAACACTCCCCCTCAATTCCGAGTACCTAGAATACCTGCAGATAAATATTCATGTAATGGTCTTGGTAGTCCTTTAGTGAATATATCTGCTAAGTTCTCCTCTGAGGCGCAGTGCTGAACTTTGACTTCATTTGAAGCCATGCGCTCGCGAACAAAATGATGATGGATATCAATATGTTTTGATCGCGCGTGGAATATTGGGTTCTCAGCGAATTTGATCGCTGATTGATTGTCGACCATAATAGTAGTTGCACCATCAGGTGGCAACCCTAATTCGGTTAGAAGCGCTCGCAACCATATTACTTCTCTAGTTGTGTGCGCGAGGGCCATATACTCTGCTTCCATAGTGGATAGGGCTACGGTGGGCTGTTTTTTTGAACTCCAAGTAACAGCTCCCCCTGCATAGGTACAGACATAACCAGATGTTGATCTTCTATCTGTTCTGTCTTCTCCCCAGTCTGAATCTGAATAGGGTATCAGTTCATCTGTAGTCCCTCCATATGTAATTCCTAAGTCTAGAGTCCCCTTCAAGTAATGGAAAACTCGTTTGAGGGCTGTGACATGCTCAGCAGCCAGATTCTGCACATATTTGCTTAATTCCGTGACAGCATGTGCAATATCAGGCCGGGATCCATTTGCCGCATACATCAGAGATCCGACACCAGTGTGGTAATACTGTCTGGTGGCTGTGTCAGTGCCTCGGGGGTCACCTTCGGGGATTTTCTCTAGCCGTACATTCGGGTCCATAGGCATTTTGACCGGTTTACAGTCTTTCATGCCCATTCTCTCAAGTACCTTGAGAATATATGCCTTCTGGGATAAGGTAATAGTGCCCTTCTCCCAATTTCTGTCTATCTTCATGCCCAATATATGTTGAATCTCCCCCATGTCTGTAACATTTAACTTCTTCTTAAGTTCTTCTTTCATGTTAGACATGGTTTCATCATCCTGGGCAAGCAATGTCATGTCATCTACATGCACAGCTATAATTATGGGGCCTGATTTTGCTTGTCTGATGTATACACATTGATCACTGATCAATCTCGTGTATCCAAGTCCCAAAAATGTAGCGTTTAATTTTTCGTTCCAAACTCGGCCAGATTGCTTGAGTCCGTACAATGTCAATTTGAGGTGTGCCGCTTTGCCGCTTCCATCAGAATATTCTGGCGGTTGAGCCATGTAAATGGATTCATTGAGCTTTCCATTTAAGTAAGCTCCGACGACATCCATTCCATGTATAATCAAGTTTCTTTGTGCGGCAATGGCCATAAGTAGGTGGAATGTGTCCAGCCTGACAACTGGTGCATATGTCTCGAAGAAATCAATGCCGGGGACCTGCGAAAATCCTTTCGCAATGAGTCTGGCCTTGTATCTGGTGATTTTCCCATCACCATCCCTTTTTAATCTATAAGTCCACTTGCAATTTACAAGTGATCTGTCCTGGGGTAATTCCTCTAACTGCCATGTACCCAGAGAAGTCAATAGATTATATTCTTCATCCATTGCTTTCTTCCAATGATGCCAATCTGGCCTTGTTTTGGCTTCTTCAAGGCTTAATGGCTCATCACTGAGGTTATCTGCAGTCTCCCCCAGACATGCATAGTCTGCTGCTATATTTGCAGTTTCTGAAGGTTCCTGTGACATTTCACGCTGCAATTCCGGCAGTTTCGTGCCTCTTGCAGCTGGATTATTGAGCAACCGGTAACTTGGTTGATTGATTGATGCGATCCGGACCGATTTGGTATGTGGCTCGATCACCTTCCCACGCCAAATGGGAAGCTTTGATTTGGTTGCCGGGGCATCAAGGGGCATTTCCCCTTTTGATTCGGCAATTTCGGCAGCCGCGGAATCATTGGAAATGTCATCATTTCCACCTGGAGTCTGCTCGACATTGTTCCCTAACTCCCCCTCGAGCGATGAAGGGTGGGATACAATATAGTCATTGTCTGTAGGCTCTTTAGTGTTGTCATCAAGGAATATAACATTTCTTGAGGTCTGAATCTGTCTGGTCTGAGAATTATAATATCTCCAGGCCCTAGATTCATCTGTAAGACCTGTAAAAATGAATTCCCTTGATTTCGGGTCGAGTTTTGACCTTTTGTTATCTTGCTGCAACACCCAGCACTTTGTTCCGAACTCCTGGAGTGTTGAAATGTCCGGTTTCATGCCCCAAAACACTTCTTCGGGGGTTAGATCATTTTTGATGGCCTTAGTCGGTGATCGGTTCTTCAGGTACATGGCATATGCCACGGCCTCGGGCCATAGGAATTTCGGCAAGTGATGTTCTTCTAGCATGGCACGCGCATGCTCCACGAGGGTCCGATTGACTCTCTCCGCAATTCCGTTTTGGGGTGGGGAATATGTGGCAGTCAGTTCCAACTGAATGCCATTGCCATGGAGGTATTCCTTCACCACCTCATTAATGTATTCCTTCCCATTATCAATTCTCATAAACTTCAGGTCCTCCCCTTTGTGGACTTTGATGTATTTCTGGTACTGCTGGATTTTCTTTTGGATCTCCGTACCTTCTTTTGACTTGAGAAAATACAATATTGTCCTCCGGGATTTGCCATCTGTGAAGCTTATGTAATATCTTTCTCCATGGATACCGTGAGTTCAGGCTGGCCCCCATAGGTCCGAAAATGTCATTTCACCTATTCTTGTGTATTCCCTTTGAGCTTCTTGCGGAAATGGCTCAACATGGTGCTTGGCCTTTATGCAGGCTTTGCAATCCTTCTGGGGCTCAGCTGACTCATCCACATCCATACCCTTGACCATCTTCTTTCTGAATAATCTCTTTACCGATCCTATATTTAAGTGGCCCATCACTCGGTGCCACTTCTGCCATGATCGGGCCGGTTTAATTGCGTGGGCTTGAGTTATTTCTGGCGCAATGATGTCAAGGCTATACAGCTTCGAAATCTTATCTCCATGACCAATTGTCTTGTCATGCGGTGAGATAATATCCATCCGAGATCCTTTGAATTTGAGTTCAAACCCGGCATCCGTGATGTGCCCTAGCGAAATAAGATTGAATGGTGCCTCGGGACAGTGAATACAATCCTTCAGTGTAACTGAAGTAGTCTTGTCCCCTTCAACCATTTTAATCTTTACTGTTCCTCTTCCCAAGCCTTTTGACTTTCCTACACCAATAACTTCATGTCCTGGGGTCTCAACATAGTCAGAAAAATGCAATCTGTTCTTGACTATATGTTTAGTTGTTCCTGAGTCCCCCAGCCATGATGACCCTGCAAGCGTAACAAGTGCAGTGTCTGTAGTGCAAAACGCATAATCTTCTTCATCTGAATCCGATTTGGCAACATGTGCCTGGGTCTGGCCCTTCCCTTTCCCCTTCCATGACTTTCCAGAATTCTTCTTTCCATTTGGGCAGTTTGCCCTGATGTGCCCGGCTTCTTCACATCCGTAACATGTGATTTTTGAGTTAGACTTCTTGCCATGTGCTGCAAGTGTTGTGGTCGGATCAGAAGTCTTTTCTCGTAATCGGATGTCTTCCTGGAGAATTCGGGAGATCAATTTGTAGGAATCTTTCAAATCAGCAGTGTCCACTGATGAAATGAATGAATTCCATGATTCCGGGAGTGATGTAAGCAGTGTAATAGAGAAGTCCTCCTCCTCAACTTTCTGCTTGAGGGATGCCAGCTCCTCTTGATAGGACCTCATAGTCCTAATATGTTCCTCTATGTTTCCCCCTTCTTCACATTGAGCTCTAAAGAATCTCCTTCTAACAAGGACAATTCCCATGGGTCCCCTGGACTCATACATGTCTTTTAGAGCATTCCATGCTTCTTCTGAAGTCTTCGAACCAGCAATATACACCAGCGGGCCATCCGAAACCCGCAACCTTATTGTCGAAAGAGCCTTCCTATCGCTCTTCTTCCAATCTGCCACCAGTGCCGCTTCTGCCGGGGCCGGAGTGCTTCCGTCTGCATAATCAATTAGACCTAAATCGGTTAGGATATCGATCATCTTGATCTTCCACGTCGGGTAATTTTCCGGGCCCTTAAGGGGGTCAATTCTGTAAACGGACTGGCTTTCCATGTGGTTCTGTATGTGTACGTAATGTACAAAAGTGCAAAGTAGGTAATGAGGTAAGTAGTTCAGTTAGGGCCGGGGCCCATAACCTGTTGGAAGTACAGAGGAGAGTATGTGAGAGAGAGAATTAAATTAGCCTCTCGAGGGAGAGGCATCGTACTTAAATACAAGTTGTACAGTTATTTACCGGTCATTGGAACGCCGAAAAATATTTTTTATCCCATCTACCACACATCGTCTTTTTCCTCAAATAAAGTAGCCACAAATTTTTTAATATTCCTCAGTGATGTCTATACAAAGTATGAAGTGGATCAAATCATCTATTATTGAGATACTCGTAATTTACGGTGTTTCATTGACTGGTAAATGACCACGTGGAAAACCCCTGCCAAATTTGTGTCACTGTTCGATTTTTCACGAGGTCAGCAGTAGCACTAAAATCCCCCAAAAATCACTAAAAATCCATAACATCTATGTCTCCAATGATACAACAGTTTCAGGCAGCGGAATTGGCGAGAAGGAGGCTAAATCAACTGTTTCAGTGACTGATGGTGTTGCAATGACCTGTCAATAACTGTACTACTTCTAGAATTTACTACGGATTACTATATGTGCCTACTATTGCGGTTAAATGTTCATGCCGCTTAGTCATGCCGAAGCTTCGAGTGCATTCTAGCACTAACTCGGGATTGCTATCCCAACAATCTTCGATGGAGTTGATGGAGGCTATCCAGACCATAGAGGGTGCATGTGCACAGCTGTGCGCTCTTGTCGCTCGTCCGAACCATACAATGCTCAACGTGAGTTTTATGCTTTGGCTATTATACGAAGTTGGACTGAAAACCAAATTCTGACAGAGAGTATTTGGCGTAAGGAAGCAAATGTAACATAAGTGTTGTCCTCCTGATATACCATTTCCTAAGATGTTCGAACCTGCCTGTATTCGCGTTGCAATTGAATTCAAAATCGCTGACCACCTCTTCGCCAGACCTGAAGGTCTTCACGTGTCCGAGCTTGGTGCGCTATCGGGAGTAGAACCTCAGAAGTTAGGAAGAATTTTGAGCTTACTCGCCAGCAAGCATTGTTTCCGGAAGAGTAAGTAATGCAAGTTGCGCATATTTTGATTTTTGCCTATCAATCCAGTCGAACGTGATGTTTTTGCGAATAATCGTCTCAGTATGGCGCTCGTAAGCGCGGGTGGTATAGCAGCGTACGCCAATATTATGTGAGTCTGCTCCTTTGATCGATACGCACACGTCTGATGATGTCCCAGTACCGACGAAGTCAACAAATCTGCTTCCATGCTCACCGAGAATCTACGAGACCCGGATTGGGGACATTCATATTCGCCTGCTCATGCGCCATTCAATTCCTGGAGCAAATACCCTGGTTCAATATACTCGTGGTATGAAGGAATAGTACGTGCCGCGTGTTGCTCAAGTTCCGCGTCCTATTCAGTAATTCGCGAACAGGGAACAGATGATGGCGTCGTGAGGGGCATGCGCTTCGGGCAGGGTATGAAAGAATGGAATGCTACTACTGAAACATTGCGATTATCAACGAATATCCATGGGTAACTCTACGCGATGGTGCCACTATGTGTGATGTCGGAGGTGGTATCGGGTCCATCTCTATGCAGCTGGCGGAAGCCTATCCCCACCTCCGTATCGTGCTCCAAGATCTACCCGCACCAATACAGAATGCGAAGAACGACATCTGGCCAAAATTATGTCCCGCGGCTATTGAAACTGGGCGTGTAGATTTCAAGGCCATGGATTTCCTGGTCGAATCTCCAGTCGGAGGCTGCGATGTGTACTATGTGAGTGCTCGACTTCGGGATAGTTCTTTCTCGTGGTGACCAAATACTTGGTAGCTGAAACACGTTCTGTCGGAGGCGTTTTCAGATCTGGAATACATAACACTCACTCTTGCTTTACAGACATAACTGGCCGGACAAGGAATGCAAGATGATTCTTACTGGTGTGAAGAACGCTATGGGACGAAGCAGTCGTCTGTTAATTCGTAGGTTTCTCCTCTGGATCTCTACCATAACCTTGATATTTAAATGCCGCTGTAGACGAACATCTTATTCAACCTGTAAACCGAGAGAATACCCTATCTCCGGGCCTGAAAGAAGCTCCTGATCCTCTTTTACCTAATTATGGAGCTGGACGTATACGCCAGTACAACCTTGATTTGGCGGTAATGTGTTTGTTCAACGGTCAAGAACGCCAGTTGGATCATATTGTTGAGCTCTGCAGAGCGTCTGGATTGAATTTTGTGCAGGTATGGGATTTTGGAGAGAGTGGACTTGCTGAATTTTGCTTGGAGTGAGTCCAGCTGGGGTGGCGACCAGGGTAGCAATTTCTTTAATGTACATAGCCTGCTTTTATCTCCTTTATATTTCTTTGTAGGTCCTTTACATTGAAAATTCTAGTCTAAAGCGCCTGACTCAGACAGGACGTCGAATTGTGATCGCGACAAAAGTCGCCGGAAATGCCAGATAGAAATTGGTGGAGCCACCTTGCACTTCAATTTCAATAAGACTTTGTCTTCTTACCCCCACCTTTCACGTTCGAAATCTATGTCTATGCTCAAGCGCTCAAGCTCTCGCTCAAAGTTAGCGGGCCAAAGATCTTCTTTGTGATGAATGTGAGTGTCGACTCTATGCAACTACAACGAATCTGATTCTCAGAGATTAATACCGCCAAGGACAGGGTTGTTGCGTCGTAAGGGCATACAGGTGTCTCGATCTTCATCACCGGATTTTGGATGAAGTATACTGTATGGTGAAAGAAATACGCTCACGTCATACTACCGCGGCCATGGTCCGGGAGTGGGCTCTATTATTTTCCATCCGTCCGTCAGCGCGCTGCGATATATGGCAGATGTTCGTGTTGCACCTTATTGCATTTTTTTGGCCCAGGCTCGACGCAGAAACACCTGAATTGTCGCTCGTCTTCCCCGCTGAATGTCTTACTATCCTGTCATGACACTAGGAGAAAGCCCGTGTTGTTCCTTGGAGCGGCGTATTGGTGCCTAGGAAACAATAGCCAGGATCCTATTCCAGTCATGCCAGATACATGCAGATAGTGCCATCCTAGCTTCGTTTGTTTCTATCCCGCCCGATGCGTTTTGAGGACAATCCTCTTATTCAGTATGGATCTTCGTCTTTGACTGATCTCTCGCGCTGACCTCTCTCTCAACATGTTAGGTTAGGGCCATCTCGTCTTGGATGACGTTTTATCGGGGCAGTCCCCATATTACTGGGTTAAGCTCTTCAGAGATTGCGAGATGCTGCTGCTGGGAGCTCTAGGGAAAAGCAAGGACAAGAAATGTAGTTTAAACATATTGATTATTAATCAGTAACAAGAAAGACGTAGTACTACGTATGTTCAAGTACATGCAATTCTTTCATTTAACAAGAAAACATCGCTGTCCTTGTATAGTTACTTCCATCCCACACGGTCAGATGGCTGACTATTTTAAGAATGCTGGATCCTGAAGTGGAATTCGCACTCGGTAAAATGAACACCTATAGTAGCTACGGAAAACTCACTGGATATGCCACTTTCCGTCGCTCGCGAAGCAATCTCCACCCGGGGTAGACTGGCAGTTCGGAGCCATCCAGTCAATGACAGATGCCTATAGCGGAAGTGAGCTAATGGATCACAGCAAACAAAAATCCGTCATCATACCCAATCATCACGACAGTACTCTATGACCCCATACATTTCATTGCCGAAGAAGGATTCACAGCTGTTATAAACCATGACGACAGTGTTGCCATTAGACTGGAAATATGTTAAGGATCTATATGATCTAGAAATGAATGCGAGCGTACATCGTTAGCAAGATCGAGGAGGTTCCCTATTCGCTCGTGAACTGGGAGAAATTCCTTAAATCAAAAAGACACGTACCAGTGTTTTCACTTTCATAGCGAAGTGCATTAGCAATTACATGGCAGTCATTAGGATCCGGGCTACCCCCAGGGGGAGTGAAACAGAACGTGTTGCCTGGTTGTCTACATCAGAACTCGCACACACAGAATACGCAGATACACTTACATTGTCCTCCACAGACATTCGTAACACTAGGAGCTTGGCGAGATACTACGTCGCTACGCCTAGTGAGAGCCCCTCAGGGCATGACACAGTCTCGACCTTGACGTTCTTGTCTGCGCCAATATAAGACTCGCTGAGGGTGACCTGCCCTTCGCAAATCTCTGCAAGAAGTGTTAGCACAATTGTTATGTCAATTCAGAATACATACCTGACAAGACAGGGCTAACGAGCGCGAAGCCAAAAAGGACAAAAGCGAGAGAGAAGTACATGTTGGATGTTTCGAACGAGGGGGTGATTTCGTTCGATGAGAAAACTTCAATCCCTTTACCATGGTTTATATAGTTGGATCCGGAATTCCAGACAACCCCCAATCCACGGGAGGGTTCCGGGCACTACGGAAAGACGAGACCAATGTGGTCAAGAGTAGAGCTAATTATTATCTCTGGGCCACTTCACCTACGCCGAACAAGCACATGCGTGATGAAGCTCCCAGGAAGCCCTACGCGTGACTTGAATTAAATATCCAGCCCGTGGTGGGATCATCTGGACACTAGTATATCCCAAACACCTGAGAATTTCTTCGTGTTCGCAGGACGTACTCAACAGCTCCAAGGGGTATCCAGGACGCAACTTCATTGCACATCCTGCCTCTGTTGTAACCATTATTCTGGTATGCTAATTTCGTGTAGGACATCGAGACACCCAATACGAGTCCTTGGTTAGATCTGCCACTTTTTTGGAGCCCTACCGCAAAGGCACAGAAGCGTCAGCAACACCACCGTTAAAGGTACCGTAAGCTTTGAGCTGAGAGTCGACAATGCCTGCGCGACGATCAGATATTGTAAGTCAAAAAGAAACTTTCAACGCACCACCAAGGTTACGTTTTATCATGGCCAGTGAGCCAATTGAGTGTGACACCGCCGCGAAGCCACTGGTAGTACACGATCTCCAATCCTCTTCGCTGCCGCCATCCTCGGGACCTGATTTTCCCGGGATAGAGTCGCCGGTCGAGAGGTCGCTATACAATTCGTCATAAATACTCAAGTCGATTACGGCCTCAAAAACACCGCTGACCTGAGTGGAGGACTGGTAAGAATAGTACGAGACATACGGGAGCTGGTGATCTGGACATCTAGGTCCCAGTAAACGAAGAAATAGCTCACGTCAATTGCCGGCTGAGTGAATGGGTCAGTCGTCCTACTTTTTTCCTTCCTTCCTATGAAACAAATGAGTACAAGGGTCTGGGTACAGTTGGACGGGTTTGCGTACCGAATTTAGATCTAAATGGGAGTAATTGCCATCGATCGACACCAAGAGAACTTTCGTTAGAACCAGTGTCACGAACTAAATAACCAAGCTCACGCTGGGAAACCGCTATCGAAGAAAAGAACGATGGTTGCTGATGTACAATGTTAATTAACATACAGACCTGAAGTTTCTCACACCGTTCTCATTGATCGATGGCATTCGAAGTTCCGCGGCCTCCGTAGTCAAAGTTATCGCCAGTGCCGACGGAATTCGTGGTCTAAGTAATAAATGAGTCGCACCCAGGTATGTATCAGCACGATGATGGCAAGCACTTGATCTTGGAGATTGTATGTCAGCAGTCTTGAGATAGCTTGAGTTCAACGTGGTTATCGATTCCAAGAAGTCCCAAGACATCAGGATCGTTGACTTTAGAAAATTGAAGTAGCGCAGGAAACCGAAATGGCAAAAGTCGGCACAGCAGAGATCCTTGAATAGCAAAGACGAGAGCAAACCTGGATGGAACCGCGTGTGACAATGACCCCAGATGCAGTCAAGGGAATGCCACCGGCAATTGATCTTAAGAGCCTATCATGGCGATTACAGGCAGACATGCCTCACAGCAGCGGCTAGCAGCATGCCCGACATGGAGCCAATGGCCATGCTTAGGTCTGAGATGTTGCCAATACACAATCCTGGATCCGCGCTTCGAAGCCTCGCTATTCCTGCCATAAGAAACCTTCAAGCGGCCCATCACTGCGCGCCTGAGCAGTAGTCAATCATTTGTCTCCCTTTCTCCCAGCGAAGCCACCCTGTTTGAGAGAACACAGAACTTCACATCGATATCCTTAGTCACGGTGAGCGGTCAAAGACTAAGACGCGTCGAGCACGTGCTGATCACGATGGATAATCCCGGTCCGATATCTGAATCGGCAGTCCCGAGTGCCGACCCCATCTGTATCCCGTTGACTCAAAAGATTTTTTGAGACGTCATGCGGTTGAGAACTAACACGGAATCTCAATATCAATTGTGGCGCCTGTTAGCTTAGGAGTTCTGAATGGGAGGTCCCCATTCTCCGTTCCCAAAACGGTGACTAATGTCACCATTTTTGTCGCTCTTCAATATTCAATGAGTATATCTCCGGTAAATGCGTGTCCCACGACGGACTCGGACAGTATCTTCAGAGTCCAGAAAGGACGGGTTGTCATGAGTTGATGGTCTGGAGCGTTGTGCCTATCTCTGAAGGTTGAAGGTTGAGCTTGATGGTCCCAGGTGAGGAGTGAGGAGCGCATGAGCAAGGGATGGTTATGCATAAAAGACCTTTTCCTTATACAAGTGGCAATATAAACGATTAATTCGAAACGAGGAAAGCAAGCGGTAGAGCTAGGAGAGGGATATGTAGCGAAGGCGATGAGGATGGGACGGGGGCTCGAAATGTATGCAGAGGTTTAGATAGAGGGGGTGTGTCGATGAGGTATTGATGGGCGAATACATGGCCTTGCGAGACCCGCGTAGGGGGCTACGGTGGAGGGCAATGAAAGAGTAAGGGCGTCGGTTTTGGCTGGGAGGTTTCGTTCGAATGGGGAAGGGTTGAACGGCGGCAGTCTACCTTCTCGACGCCAATACGAACGCCAATACTAATGCGATGAGCGCCGTCAAAGACGCAGTAATAACCGCGATAACCACCCTCGCAACCGGATAATCCCCCCTCGGCAAAGCACCCTGTATCGAAAAGTACCTCGCCATCCCCACGCATAGGATCCCTAGGGATAGTATGACGGCTGTGGCTCCCAGCGGGCGGGCGTAGCCCTGTGCTCCCCCGCTAGGCGAGAAGGTGGTCTGGTTAGAGGCGGTGCTGGTGCTGGATGAGATGGAGAGTAGCTGGACAAGAGCGACGCCGGTGGCGGCGAGGACGAGGGAGGTCCGGACGTATGCAAGGAAGGTCCGCTCAGAAGCGAGGTGGTCTCGTGCGACGGAGCCGTTGTTCTCTAGCGTCAGGCTGATACGCATGGCAAAGAGCAAAGAGGAGGAGCAGCAATTCCGAATATTAACTCCGTTGTCGGCCGCATGCCGTTTTGAGGTCGTGATGAATTCCGAATCGTTCGCAGCATCGTCCAGTTGAGCGTTTTTTTTGTCGTTCGTGGTCATGGTGGACGTTGAGGTTGAAGATGCGAATCAGTGACGCAATTGGAAATCCGTGTCTGTTCGCTTTTCTCCTTTCGACCATATGCATCATTCGCATGGCCACATTCTCAACGGCTTCTTTCCCTGCGTTGATGGCGCCCGGTCGAGCATTATAAGGTACGTCGCTGCTTTTTGTTGGACTGCTCGTTGGCTGAGCGTCGAGTTGTTGCAGGATAGCCCAATCTGGTCCTTCTGCAAACCCGACAAACCGACCGAGCATCGGTGGCGCTAGGGATTGAATATTGGGAGCTGAAGTATCAGAGCATCATGGGTGCGTGGACTGAAAAAAACCCGTAATTCTCATCGCTCACGTCCATTTTTAGCTTATGGCCGCCACCTCGCTCAACAACAGCCGTCGCAATCTATCCATGGTGCATATCCAAGCTCCCAACCCCTTTCCTCTTCCCATGATTCCCAAACAAAACCTGGCTTGCTGGACTTGACGATCATCTTACACTCTTTCTGGGCCTTTGCTCCTCTTCCTCCTCGCCATTTGTGATGATGGTATCGCTTACTGTGTCGTTTTCACAAGCGAACTGCTCTACCACATACACAGCGTCTTCGCCTGTACGCCGTGACGCTTCTTCAGGCGTTTTACGAAGCTTCATCATCCCGGATAACTCTGGGAAAAACAAGATAAGCGCTGGTCGTCGCGCCGATACCAGAAACCCCCAGGCCTCAACTCATTCCCTCCACCGCCAGCACCAGATGTCGCTCTTCTCCAGACGTAGCGTTGCGAATTCCCCATAATAGCACTACCGTCATCGGGATGCCGAGAAAGTGATTGGAGTTGTTCATCACGGGTTCGCGTTCACCACCTATTAATGTTTTCCGACATAGGCTTACGTATCCTATTCACAACGCTATTCTAAATCAATACGTGATAGACCAGCTGAAGCCCACGTACTTGATTCTTCCTCGGATTGGTGGTGTTCAAAGAAGACAAGAATGACTACGTGCAATCGACCGCTTGGTGGATTCTTACAGCAGGAATAGCCGTGTCGCGGACTCCAGAATCCTCCAGCTGGTTCCCCCGAGAACCGTATCGCGCTACATAGGGTTTGTGTTCACCATACGTTCTTTCCGGATACATACCCACTCATCCGCATCTGTTATGCAGTGCTCTTGCCCCACACTATGGTTAATCTAGCATGGAAATAACGATACTGCCACGCCTCTTTTGAATAGCTAGAACATCTCTCCCTCCCGACTGCCACGCACCATCGCCTCTATGTCAGAGTAGGCGTCCCGGGAAGCAACCAGACTCGAGGATGCCAAGAAGCATCTCGAGTTCGCCTCAGGAGGTGTACAGTCGATTCGAGGGACTTTTCAGGCGTTGTATGAAGCATCAATCGTTCATCACGGACAACTTTGGGAAGGAAAAGCAAAATAGGCGCCGCACATTGTAGTGGTCGTCCACGCAAACCTCAGCTCGTTCCCTCTCACTCGCCCCACACATCACTGCGAATGGCAATGTCCCTCCTCCAACCTATCGTTCCCATCAACTAGAAGAACCGGTTGGAGTCATACATCACGGGTTCGCGTTCACCACCTCTTTTCCGACATGGCAAGGCTGGTCGTCACGCTGATACAGGGACCCTCAGGCTCGAGAACAGTCCACCACTAAATGCCGCGACATTCTACGTGTCGACGCTGCAAATAGCATCCCCTCCCCGCCACCATCAATGCCGACAAAGTGATTGGAGTTGTTCATCACGGGTTCGCGTTTACCACCTATTTTCCGATGCACGCTTACGTACCAGGCTAGCTCGTCGTTTCCTGAACGTCAAGACCAGTCGGACCCCCCGTACTTGAGACGCAGTGACCTGACCGCTTGGTGGATTCTTAGGCGCCGTGCTGTGATATGGTCGAGAATCCTCCCCCCTCGAGAAGTGATGGATCCAATCGTATCGCGCTACATATGGTCTGTGTTCGTCACACATTCTTTTCGGATACCCACTCATCTGTTATACCTCAGATCATGGTCAATCTAGCATGCCATTTCTTGAATTACTGATACGAAAGTCATATGCCTCTTCGAATAGCGCCTCAGTTCTTTCCCTCACGAGTGCCACTACCACCAATGGCAATATTCCTTCGACCTCTGTGCCAGAGTAGGCGTCCCTAGCAACCAATGCCGAGAAGTAATGCGGGTTCGCCTCGGGAAGTACAGATGGGGCCGGGACTGTCGTACCGGGATTACCCAGGGTCATTGCTTTGTGCGTGATCAACACGTGCTCGACGCGTCTTCACCGTTTACCGCGACAACGTCGCGACGAACCTTCGGTCTACTGTGAACATCGGACATCTCAGTGGATCACTTTCTTTACTCTCGCGTGCGTATGGAGTTTTGGTCTTTAAATGTTGGCGATGAATTATCCTCAGCACAGGTTCAAGGACATCGTGCGTATCCCTCTCCCCGCTCGCTGGCGTTTGACTGATCATATCCTCGAAACAGACATCTCATCTCTACAGGCAGTACACGCCTCTCAAATAAATAAGCGACTTTCCTATAACCTCAGGTGGCGTTTTTAATCTATGTATACAGTCGCTACCACTACCGTCGCGAAATGAATTCAGAACCCTTATTCGGGACGTCAATCCATCCCATCTCGTCATGGTTCCTGGTTCCTATCTAGAAGCAGATGGGAAATTAGCCCAGAAGCTTTTTTTCATATGTCTCCCCACATTGACAACCTGAGCTCGGAACCGAGGGAGGTTTATCCGACACTGATCGACAATGGCAAGTCAAAGCGAGGACGGTGAAAATATAAATGAAAAGCAAAATTGCAGGTTTGAATTTACGCTTCAACTTTACCTGCTCTGCTGTACCAAAATATAAACATTTGGAGGTCTCGTAAGTGCGCGCAGAGTTCTAGACCGGGATCACTGATGATGATGATGATGATGATCACCATTCCGTACTCATACTTATACTTAAACCTGAGTTGACATGAAGGCAACGTGGTTGACGCACCCCCACTACTTCGCTGCCTGCACGCCGCAGGGGTACCATCATCCATCCGTGTTCCTTCAACGGGACTTTTATTTAGGGTCCGGGAGTAGGGTCGGAGAAAGCTAGCGCTATTGACATGAAAGGGATGCATTCTATATTCTTACGCTCACTGGTATTATTCTACTAGTACTACTAGGATTTCCCTGCATGTACTGTACCTGGGAGCTTCTAAATGGCAAATAGATGGGAATATGCAGGGTCCCCTCCAGCTGTGCACGGGGGGAATCATGGCAACGCCGAACGAGCGAGCCATCAGAGCACTGTACAACTTTCTCTTTAACCACCACCACCATCCCCCTTCCCCACCCAGCGTCGAGCGCTGACGCTCCTTCGTTCAACCAAATTCCATTCTTTTTTTCGCATTTTTTCTTCTAGCTCCATTCCTCCCGGTTCTCGGCTCTCGGCGCCCGAGCGGCGTTCGGATTGAAATTGACTAAAGACGGTAAGCCCGGTTATCTCAATATGTAAATAGCATGGTTCGGTTTTCTGGAACGTTTTGCCTGCCTGCCCTGAGAGGGTTGTTGGGTTCTCCTCTTTCCCTCGTTCCACGAGGCAACCTTTCGCCTTTCACACCGCTCGCGCGTTCCTCCCTTCACTGGTGGTTGAGCCACGAGACGCGACGCATCCCTCTCAAAAAAAAAAAGAGAAAAATACTCACGAAAAAATTGTTCACGCGAAACTCTACGTCTACGCTACGCTTGTTTAACGTCTTTTTTGTCTTTTCGTTTCGCATCCTGATATCCATATACTGACTTGTTCCTCCTTTCCGATGCGACTCATCTCACGACTATTACGAATCCACCCCCCAGAGAGCCCACCTCCGCCCCCCTCTCCTGGTGACACCTCCCAAAACACCTCTCCACACCGCATGGACTCGGAAGGATACCCAGCCTGGCTGCCCCAGCGTCCCCCCACCACCCGCCCCAGCGTCGACAGTGCGGTCTTCTACGATGGACGTCACTTCCCCTACCCCTGAGCCCATCCCAGGTCCGAGCTCGAATTCGCATCCGCCCTCGTCGTATTTGGGTGGGAGGAGGGCCACGCCGAGGAGTGTGAGGATCGTTAGTGATTCCGTGTATGGCTTGGAGGGGGATAGGGAGAAGGAGAAGGAGAGAGAAAGACGTGTGCCGACCGATCATACACAAGGGAGTCACCCGCGTGTGTGGTCCCGTGCTACAGGTGCTGCGCTCTCCGCCTCACCCACAGTCTTCGACCCACCCGTTTCCCAGCCAAAATTCCGCGTCCGCGGGCTCAATATCGAGTTACTCCTCAACCCCTCCCCTTTCGCTCGCGTGTACTTTTATGTGTTTCGTGTATTCATCTTTGCGCATCTTTTTTTGCAGACGTTCTTCGATTTCAATGCTGTGTTTATTATCATTCAGTGAGTCTCGTTATCCTTCACGCCCTAATGATTGTATTTTCGTATTGACCATCGTGTTAATGTAGGGTAGCCAAATTCCCCAACCCCGACATCCCCGGCTCGGGAAAAAACTGGGCTTTGGGCGCAGCAGCCTACATCTTCTGCTGGGCCCTCCAACTCCTCGGGGTCTTCCTCGTCTACGAGCTCCTCTACTCCTTCGTCCGGCGCTGGCGCGTCAAGCGCCCCTCCATATACCCCATATACCTCTCCTCCCCCGCCTTCAACTTTGTCTCCATCCTCTCCTTTCGCAACTTTTGCTTCCTCCACTACCTCCGGTATTCCGCCTTTCGGGGCCACGGGGGAAGCTTCCGGATGGGCTGGCAGAGACGTTCTGGTTCTATGCGCAGAACCTTCCGACTGTTGTGCTCCTCCTGCCCAGGGCGGGGATCTCTTTGGCGTTGTTACTGGAGTTTTGGGAGCCGCAGGTGGGGGAAGTCGTACTCGCGGATGCAGGGATTAATAATCGGGACGGGACGTTTTTTCGTGCGGGGGGAGCGTTGACGGATTATGCACGTGGGGTGCTTATTGCGAACGCTGCTTGGACGGCGTGGCGGACGCTAGTACTGTTCTTTAGCTGGTAACCACTCATCCATTCTTTCGTTCCCTCATCACTTACTAACCCATCTTCTCATTCATAGGATTGGCCTGTGGGTAGTGAGCGGCCACGGCTGTGCAGGATTCTGCGGTCCCCGCGACAGATGGGAAGAAGAAGACGCGGAAAAGACCATCTCAGTATACAGCGAGAGCCCCACACTCGCTGATACACTCCCCTGGAGCTGGCGGGAGTGTACGAAAACGCGTATCCAAGAAGCATACGACTTTTGTCTCACCACCACGCGTCCTGCCTCTTCTTCTCGGAAGAAGGAACTGGGAGATACCCCAGAGCCGTTTGAGGGTATGGAGCAGATTATGGCTGCGGTTGGGCTGGGGAGTACGGCGTCCCCGACAAGGAGGGGTGTGCTTACGGATGATTTCTTCAAGGGACCGAAAGGGGAACCCTCACCGGAGATTGTGGGAGAGCCTGAGGCGTCTACGTCGGGAGGAGGAGGAGGGCCGCTGAGGGAGCTGCCGTATCCGTTCACGACCAAGACCGCGCAGGTATCCTCGGATGACGAAAAGGTGCCCTTCCCGCCTTCTCCGTCCCTGCCAAGTGAGGAGAAGGTCACTACGGAGAAAGACACTGCCGACGACGACGACGATGAGGAAGGGGAAGAAGAGGAAGACATCGCCCAAGCAGAACTAGGCATCATCGGCAGCAGCGACAGACGCTCCTCCGGACGCGCCTCAGGGTCAATGTCCAGCTTAGGCCACCCCGTCTCCTCGCGGTACCCTTTCCAGTTCCGGAAACCCGCCACCACGCGGGGAACGAGTCTCTCCTCTGGTACACCGCCCCGGTCCGTCCATTCGCATATCTCACAGTCGACGGGGAACGTCGAGTCCTCTTCCGATTCGCATTCTCCAAGGTCCCATTATAGTACTAGCTCGGATGCTGCGAGCCCGAGGAGCTTGGCGATCCCTATGCCTATGCCGCCGAGGCATCCCAATCGGAGTCGAGCAGGGACGGTCCCTTCTTCGTCTTCTGGCCCGTCTTCTCCTAGTAGTCCTGTCAGTTTCCCCCAGGTCAGGACGCTCTAGAGCGAGGACACGAACGAGTAGCAGTATCGGGGAACCTCAACCCGTGCCTTCGAGTTCAGATCTGGAAGGGGGAGACGACGATGAAGGAATCGAAGAGGGTGACACGCTAGACCAGTCACTCCCTGAAGTAGCAGCAGAAAGCGAAGACGTCGTCGGTCTGCTGACACTCGAACCATCCGGCTCAAACTCCCCTCGTATACCTCTCCGCCCCTCATCACACCGCAGCACCTCCACCTCACGCTCCAACTCCCAGAGCGGTGCGTCCTCCTCCTCGCGTTCGCGCGCAGGATCTCTATCCGCCGTGCGCTCCCGTACCCAGTCCCTAATCCACAGCATCAGCGTAACCAGTCTCGAACTCGTCCAAGGTGCCATGCGTTCCCGCGCGGACTCGTCCATGGCGCGGTTGGAAGAGGATCCCAGTCCCACTCCCGGGCACTCGCGGTCAGGAAGCTCGACGGATCCTAGTGGGAGCGGGAGTGGCGGGGAGAACTGGACGTTCGGACACCCGATGGCGTGGCAGAGGCAGGAGATGCGGGAGCACCGGCAACAGCAACATGAGGAGGCGGAAGAGTATGAGTATGAGGAGGGACCGTATGTTCGGGGGCAGCAGCCCTCGCCGGTCATTGAAGAGGACTCGGAGAGCGAGTCCTCCCATGACGATCCTGTGCCTGTGCCTATCGTGATGCACGAATCGAGGTCGGAGTGTCTGTTGGTACGGAGCAGCCGTACATGAGTGCTACGTCTCTATCACCCCCCTCGGTATTCACGCCTAGACCCCGAGAACGAGAAAGCGAGGGTGCGTTGACGTTGAGCAGCCACCCCGGACATCAGCACCGCCGCAGCGTCATTCGTCACCGCCCCTGCCACCATTGAGGGGTCCACGACGACCGAAGAGAGTATTCGGTCGGTGTCCACTATACATCATATGGTTGACCGGCCCCATCCGAGTGGGATGGGTGGGTACGGGCCTTTGTAGATTAGATTCGAGGATTCGGTTGACTTATTTTCGTGTTGTTTGTTTATTCCTAACATTGACGACCCTT